GCTGTGTAATTGTTATTTAGTAAACATTTGAGGGCAATTGTGTCCGAAATTGTTTTAATTAAGGGTAGAACGGGAAGAAAAATCATATTACCCCGGTAATGTTTTAATAACACTCCCTAGCAAGGTAATAAGATTACCCTTCACATTACCAACAGTAACCACTATTTGCAATAAAAGATTACCATAATATTTTATTACTTAAAAACCAAACACAAGAATCTTATAAAATAAACTAATATTACCCCTGTTATCTTATTTATCCCCGATCTAAACAACCCCTTAATACATTCATACACCCATTTCACTACATAAATAATATTACCTTTACCACTTATAGGAAATTGGGGCAGAAACTTTTTTTTTTTCAACTCACTTTTTCTGTAAAATCCATATATAAACTGTTGGACATAAGAATTTTGAAAAGAATTGTTTTTAATGAATGTTTGATAGTTAACCACTTTACTAAAGCATTGATAATTGGCAAATTATTTAGGAGTATATTCCGGTTAAATTTGTGATCCTATTTCTATTAATTAAACTGTATTATTGCAGTAGTCATAGACTTTAATTAATAGTTTTGTCGAGTGGGTGTGGTGTGGAGTGATAAATATATAATGAGTAAACGACATTTTCCCACCCAAGGTTTGACGAATCTATGTTCTCACCTCTAGTTTCATAAATTGCATATTCTCACCTTTAAATTAATAGAAAACTATTTAATCTAACAATTAAAAGGGTAAAATGGTCATTTCAATGATTAAAAAATTCAAAATAATCTTTCACTTCTCAAATTCACCCCACCGGTGATTTCAGGTCATTCTAGCCCATTTCTGGCACAATCGACCCCTCCCGACATCATCATTGCAATCCCTTCAACCCCCACATCAAAACCCCTAACCTCTCTGCCTGATTGAACCCCCCAATCGCTGACCACCGCTCTTAGTTTCAGTTAGCATTTCATCCAAATTTCGACAGGTCCCAGTACTGGAAACCACCCCCAACACCACCAATAGTATCATCGGCTTCCCCCCAACAAAACCTCCAACATCGCCAATTGCAATTGCCCGCCGATCGCCGCTGCCTCTCCCTTAGGTTTTCGCATTTTGTCACGTCTTTTCAGCCAAATTTTGTCACCTCGCTAATGTGCAATCGAGTGGAAAAGTCAGGGGGTTTGGTGAGGAGAATAAGGGGATGCTGATGGTGGTGTCGGGGAGGTCCAATCGTGCCAGAATCAGGTCGAATTTTTGACTTGACCAGGATCTCCTCTAGGGGTTATTTGAGAGAAATTTAAGATGTGGGAGTTATTTTGAGAGAAAAGTAATGGTGTTAATTAAAGGGCGAGAATTTGCAATTTATGAAACCAGGGGTAGAAACTTGAAGAATCGCCAAACCTTGGGTGAGAAAATACCGTTTACTCATATATAATTAAAGTAGCTAAGGAATTGGAAAGAGTATAGGTAGAATTAAACCTGATCACATACAACCTTTTATGCTTGTGATCCATCGTCATCTTCCTTTCCATGCATATACCAGGCAATCTCCATCTCCAATTCTTAGGATTACTTAAGCTCATCCACATGCATATGACTCACTATATCTTTGAGCTATATAATAATATGAAAAAGCAATTTATCAAAGACGAAAGAGGAAAAAACGACACTAATGAAAAAGTATAAAGTAGGATCAACTTCCAGTTGTCATAAGTCAATGTAAAGCCTCATTATATAATCTTCATTAAAAAATTTATCTATTATAATTACAACTAAATTGATAATAAAAAGAAAAATGCTAGCTAGATTATTCACAAAATTTATAAAAACTTTTTATCAATTGGTTCAAACAATACAATAGTTTGAATTAACAATTTCAAAATCATTAATAATAAGGAATTTATGTTATAAAATATAAAAAAAAAAATCATAATCTGATTAAATGAAGAAAACAGATGAAGCAAATATAGTAATGAAATGATTAATAAATTTTCTAGTACTCTTATCTCTTTTGAATTAAAATTAAAACCTTAATTACGTCTATATTTTTCCCAATAAATCATGAACCCGTAAAGAGTTAAAGCCTATTTCCATTGTTAGATTACTGTAGTTCTATATATCTCTAATGCATTTGCGCCGGATCAGTTTCAGATTATCTGCTTTTTTTAATTTGTCTGTATTATCTCTCTTTCTTTTTATCTATAAATATAGAGAGAGAGACCGACTCCTTTTACTCAAGTGGGATCTGCTCTCTCTCTCTCTCTCTCTCTTTCTTTCTTTCTCCCTTTCTTTCTTTCCATCAGCTTTATTTATTCCCATTAGATCTCATATATTTTCTAAATTCCAAACCTCTCTTTGATGAATATCACAAGACCCCATCAACATCCTCCACTTCTCCAAACTCATGCATGAAACTATTCAATTGAGTATCTTTGCCTCTGCAAAAGGAAACTGAAAAACAACAACAACTTCCCCAACCCAACTCCACTATTTAGTTCTCCTTTTTCTACTTTCCCCATTCAATTCTCTCCAAACAACCCACCCATGATGTCGCCTGATAATATTCTGGCGAAATCATCATCCGTTTCCAACAAAGAAGATAACCAAAACCCTGAAAACAACCGCAAACCATCCTCAACAAGGCCACAAGAGCAATCCCTCAAGTGTCCNTTTCCTCAATTTGTGCAGGGATTGGACACGTGGAATGTCTCCAGCCTTTCACCAATCTAGCGCACACCCACTGCACTGGCAGGAGCATGCCGCTCACGTCAGCATGCGACGTGGCTGCGTCTGAATGGTAGCAGAATCTACTTAAGCTCTGACTGTCCATGCTGACAAGGCTCGGCGTCAACCCTACTTTTTCAGGCATAACATATTTTTTTCAATCAAAGTTTCAGTGTAAACTCAATGAGTCCAATTGTGTGAGAGAATTAGAGTTTTGATAGATATGTATATGTTAAAAAAGTACACATTTGTTCTTCCAATTTTTATTTTGCCCTATTTAATATTTTTATTTGAAATCTTATTCCCAAAATAAAAAATAAGAATTATAATAAGGTTATGCGAATTAATTTTTTTTTTTGATAAGGTTATTCAAATTATATTATATATGACAAGACTTAATTGATTAGAGAGACATAAATCACGTCAAATATTTGTCACCCATATTTTAATGCTTATAAAACCACGGGGAAGACTTTTACTTTATCAAGTCTTCTAAAATTTCAAATAAAGGCACTATTAATTCTACAGTCTAATGGACGCAAAACCTTTCACTGTCGCCATTAACATCTCTTATGAGACCAAGCAAATTTGGTACATATAAACCTTAAAGGATTAATCGGATGATTAAGAAGGTTTATATTTTTTATTGACTTCTTAAGTTCGAATCATCTTTGGGTCACTTATCATATTTGTAGTTTGCTTGAAAACATTACACTAGTAAGATGTTCGATAAACTCTAGTAATTAGTTAAGGTGCACACAAACCGAGGTGCACAAGCTGACCCGAATATCCGATCATCAAAGAAACAAAAACAAAAAATTTGTTACATGTACCTCTCAATACATCTTAAATCCCATATGTTTGAATTCAAAAGATAAGAAGAAAGAATATATATTATAGAAAGTTATATATATAGAAATTAAGTAAACATTTTTTATGCAAAATGACATGGCATCATTTTTTTTTTTTTTTTTATTGATATACCATTCTTTCATATTTATTGAATATTCCACACTCTTGGATTAATTGATTTCCATTCAATGGAAGAACTAATTATGGAATATCTATCAAAAAATTAAAAATAAAAGTATAATGACATTAAACAAAATATTTATGAAATTTTGGATCGACAAAATTAATTTAATAACCAAGTTCCAAAACCCTTATTTTGTGTTTGTCAAGTCAATACATACATGGAGATAATTTGCTAAAACACTAAATTTGAAGTGTAAACATAAATGAAATTTCTTCTACCAAATAACAAGCCTACTTTCGGTGCACTTAAAGAGAAAATTGGAGAAAAAGAAATTGCATGTTAATTGTGGTTATAAATCAACACTAACTTTGACTATTGATTTATCTAAAATCACCTCTTTGCGGACTTGACAAATACTGCCTTCTTTGAATTATTATTAGGTATGTGGAAATTACAAACCATAGCACCATTGACGTAGACCAAGATTTTACAAAGTAAATTAACCCCACAATTTTGGTTGCATGCACTATTACATTTGCAATGACCATTCTACCCTTTTTTTTAGAGTTAGAATTGCGTCCACAATTTTGGTCGGTATAAACTATTTACTAAAACTATCTAACAAGATTTTAAAACACAGACATCAACAAAGAACAATATTTGATTTCCATAGACACATTAAAAATGAATATATATATATATATATACTTGTATACATATATAATAAATTTGTATAATACTACATATAAAACATTTTTATACGATATTTTTCATACAATATGATATGACAAAAGATGATTGACTGATTTTAAATTAAAAATAAACTTTCAACCAATCATCATCTACTACATCATGTTGTATGATAAATGTTAAATGTTGTATGAAAATTTGTATTTGTAGTATTACTCAATAAATTTTATGTAGATACAACAAAGTTGTAATGATTTATGCAACCAATTAGTACTTCTATGTATTATTTATATATAACAATAATTAACATATACAAATAATGAGATTTATTAAATTTATTATTTGTCTAAGATTTTCGTGTAGGGGCACATTAGTAGTCTAAATAATAAGTTATAGTGTTAACGTGGACCGGCCGATTTGTTGGACTTTATTCACCTTTGATTTATGCCAAAATTCAACATGCTATAAACCCCCAAATTTTTCTAGCTAGGAAGTCACTTAGCAATTTACAAGCAGTATAGGAGAAGAAATTAAGTTGAAGCTTTGTTAATTCTACTCATTATGTACAAAATCTGATTCCTTATTGTTTTAAAAAATGAACAAAATTTAAAGCTTAAACAATGTTCGTCCTTCTTTTACTTATTTATCTATTCTCAACATCAAGAGCTCAATCTTCTCAATCCGACATTACCATAGGCTCAACTCTTTGCACAAATTCTTCAACTATAAGCTTCTGGCCTTCTCCTTCCGGCCATTTCGCTTTTGGATTTTACCCTTCCGGCAATGGCTTCAGGGTCGGCATATGGCTTGTTGGCATTCCAACAAACACAATTGTATGGAGTGCACGAAGAAAGTACCCTGAGGTCTCATCCGGTACAACTTTGGCTTTCTCCATGGATGGAAAGCTCCTTCTTCGTACCGCAACCGGGGAAGTCCAGGTGATAGTTGAAAGCAACCCGAAAGCATCGTATGCTTCCATGCTCGATTCGGGTAACTTCGCGCTGTATGACTCGAATTCGGAACTTGTATGGAACAGTTTTGATCATCCCACAGATACTCTTTTGGTGGGACAAAAGCTAGTTCAAGGTAGCTTTCTTTATTCTAGTGTATACAAAACCAATCAGTCCATTGGAAAGTTTAAACTGTCTATCCAAAAAGATGGAAATCTCTATGCATTTCCAGTGGAAAGTATTCCGAAAGGCAAATATGTCTACTGGACATCAAATGCTCCTCGTGCAGGAAGAAATGTGTCACTAAATTTAGAACACGACGGCCGTTTGTATCTTCGAAATGCATCCACTGGATCCGATGTGAAGAATTTAACCGAAGGTGGAAATTCAGTTAATGTTACTATATTGTATCGCGCCACGTTTGATGTCGATGGTATTCTGAGACTCTATCAGCATCAAATAGGGACTAATGGGAGCTTGAACTCCAAGACTTTGTGGGAAATGCTCCTTGACGAAGATCGTTGTAAGGTGAAAGGCGCTTGTGGCTTGAAAAGCTACTGTGCCCTCGTTGGCGCGGATATTGCTTGCTTATGTCCACCGGGGTTCGATTTTGTTGATGTTAAGCAGCCTCTAAAAGGCTGCCTGCTGAACTTCACCATGGAAAATGATTGCTCTGAGAGCAAGAAAAACAGCGAAGAATATTACATTTCTTCTCTAGAACACACTTATTGGGAACGCAGTGAATTTGATGTCATGGATTCTGTAAGTGAAGAAGCATGTAAAGAAGCTTGTTTGAAGGATTGCAGTTGCGTGGTAGCTGAGTGTAGGAACCAATTGTGCTTTTAAGAACAAGCTACCATTGAGATATGGAATGAAAATTAGTAGAAGTGTTACTAAAACTCTGATCAAGAACAGAATCGGTGGCGGCAATCCATCGACAAGGAGAAATGACTTCAGTGATGATAGTAAGATGATCAAAAAGGTTGGAAAGGAATTTGTAATTGTTGGTGTTGTGCTCATGGCTTTCTCCCTGATAGTTTTCATTTCAATTGGGTATCTCATTTACTCGAATCGAATTTGGAGCTTCAGGATCATCTCAAGTACTCAAGAAAATTCAACTGGTGTGATGGAAGAAACCAGTTTGAAATCATTTAGCTATAACCAGCTTGTTGTGGCCACAGAAAATTTCAAGGAAGAGATTGGGAGGGGGGCGTCAGGGAGAGTTTTCAAGGGTTCATTGATGATGAATGGTGAGAAGGAAATTGCGGTGAAGAAGCTGCAGAAGATGGTGGAAGCTGGAGAGCGTGAGTTCCGAAATGAGGTGAAGATAAGTGGAAGAACTCACCACAAGTACTTGGTTCATTTGATTGGATTTTGCAGTGAAGGAAAGAACAGGCTTCTTGTGTATGAATATATGAAGAATGGTTCGTTAGGAAACCTTCTTTTTAAGGCGAAGAAACTCCCGAGTTGGAGTGAAAGACGAAGGATTTCCCTCGAGATTGCAAAAGGGCTTCATTATCTGCCCGAAGAATGCGAAACCAGAATCATCCATTGCGACATAAAGCCTCACAATATTCTGATGGATGACTCTTGGAATGCCAAAATATCAGATTTCGGATTGTCAAAACTGTTGAAGCCTGATCAAACGAGAACATACACGATGGCAAGAGGGACAAGAGGGTATGCAGCACCAGAATGGCACAAGAACAACACTCCGATTACAGTAAAAGCAAATGTTTATAGCTTTGGAGTAATGTTGCTTGAAATCATTTGCTGTAGAAAGAACATGGACATATCTCTTAAAGATGAAGAAATCATACTGATGGATTAGGTTTATCATTGCTACGAGGCTGGAGAGCTCAGAAAACTTGTGAATGAAGAAGGTTTAGACATGGAGGAAGCGGAAAAATTAGTGAAGATTGACAGGCTATTCACAAGTGTACGAAATCGTGCAAGTAGTAAAACTCGAGTAAACGAGTGTCGAATCCCAAGGGAACTACCTACCAAGTACCAGACTATTATATTCTATTGCTATTTGATTAAACTGAAATTTAAGATTGAATTTAATGAAAAAGTAAATAAACTAAAAACTAAAAACTAAAAATTAAGTACTAAAATAAAGGCAGAATTTGTAAACACTTTGGAGTAAAAATCAATATGACTAAATCTAGGGCATATATTTCACACCAATTTAATCCTATGTATTGACATTTGTTGTTAACCTAATTAAGCGTATTCTAAAAGCCAAATCCCCTAATATTCCACTAACTCTCTCTCGAGCAATTAGCAAATTAACACTTAAGCAACAACCCAAGTTATCTCTAAGTTGGATTTAGGAGCTAAGAGATCATTAAGTTCTATGGGATTTCCCCGAAGCCTCATAGATCGCTGTAACCTATCTCTAGCATTCGCTCAATCTATGGTTTTATTACCTAAAGCAAATTAGGTTTCATCTCTCGATCTCAACCCAATCCATGATATCATTCAACTCTCAGGCCCTTAAGAATTGAAAGCATTACACACGATAATAAAACTTAGAATTCATGCTCAATACAGAATCAACATCAACATCAATACATGTTCATAAATTGGGCTACATCTGTAGCCCTAGAAAATAGAATTAGTTCATAATGAAAACAATACAATCCATCATTCTATTCAATAACATCAGTCTAAGAAAGAAAAAGATAAACTTCTCTAATCGGTGAACGAGAGCTCTTCGGATCCTGATCTCTAACTTGGTAGCCGTCTTCTTCTTCTCCAAAATCCCTCTTTTAATTTCTTAAAGACTCTCTTTTATATCCCTGGGATTCTTTTTTTGTGCTTAGGAAAAAGATTAGAAACTTAACCCATTCAGATTCGGATTAGGGTAGTGAATTAACACAAACCCGTGACCCATCGCCGCGGCGGTAATAATGGTCACCATGGTGATCATTCTTTACGTCCAAGGCATCTGTAATCTTCAGAATTTGCACAAGTCATCAACATGAACATTGTAGCTCTCTGAATAAGCTTTCCAACGCCACTAGAATCGTTGAATTCTGATTTCTACAGCTCAAGTTATGACAGAAACATCAAAGCATACTCATGATGAAGGATTTCCAGATTTTCTGTAATATCTTCGACGTGCCACAACTTCCTCATTTTGACCCTGATTCTTGTGCCGTTTGTTCCTTTGCATTGTAAATCCTATCAACATCGTTCTTTTCCCTTCAACAACCTGGTTGAGCCTGAAAACACTCAAAATACACCCGTGATCCCATAACTAGTATTTATAAAAGAAATAATCCAAATTCCACACTTTAAGCACATTTTTCCATAAATAGACCAATTAAATCACTAACAAAATATAAACATTTAAGCTCTTATCACAACCCCCAACCAGCTTTTTGCTAGTCCCTAGCAAAATAAGCGATAAAACAAGTCTCTAAGCTTGAACAGAAAACAACTAATTCAAAACCTCAATCTACCTAAATCACTTTCGTAGATTGACACGATTGCATTTAGCATATGCAACAAGCCTTTAAACCCCTAGGTGGCCCTAGTTGGACGAGTTGTAGTCTCGTGAGGGTTTCCAGCGATGATACCCACAAACATCCACACTAAACTTATCCTAAACTCCAAAAGTAACAAAAACATAAACATAACAAGAACACACTAACAAAAAGTCTTGGATCAATTCATAAAGTTGTCTCAAAAATTGCATATATACAAAACAAATAGAATAATTAAAAATCACCTAAAACTCACAGACAATGCAAACATCAATTTCATTTTCATTATCAACCCTAGAAAATACATAAAACCACAAACCATTAGTCTACAAACTCGGATGGTGTTATGCGCGACATTCATGAACAAAATTTTGATCTCAGTATCCGGGTTATGACTTATATGTGAATCATGGAATCAAACTCCATAGACTCACTTTTCACATCACTCTCCACTAATGTAGAATTTCACATCACCTAGGATCAATAGGTCTTTGTAAAGGTTGTAACTTTAGGCCAGGGTATGGGTTCCAAGAAAATGATATGGAAAACAAAGTAAGAGACTCAATTTTCCTCATACAACTCCAAAATCAAGTCAAACTCCACTTCTTCTCAACCACCAACCAGTGTGTCCACTAATTTACAACCCTCAAACTTAAATTTTTTTTTTTCATACCATAAATACGGCGAGGGAGATGCATCTAAGGTGTACGTGGCGCTGTTATACCAGAGATTGCCAAGTACTGCTAGACAGTTTTTAAAGCGGGTTCTGGTTTCCAGCCGAAATACCCTTAAACTAGGCAAAGATTTTTTTTTTTTTTTGTTGAATCAATAAGAAAGCTGAAACATGCACACATGCACATCCCCACTGATTTTTACCAACACTCCACAACCCCTAACCAATTTCTTCGCACGCATGGGTTGTGACAACCACACTTTCTACCAAAACTCATAATAAGCTTGAAGAACAATAAAGTCTCTTAATGATAAAATGGTTAGAACTATGTTTTAGGTTAAAAATCAGGATAGGGTAGACATTAAGTTCAAAGAACGAAAAACAAAGCTAAATTGTGTTTAAAGGGCTCAATGGGCTAACTAGCGATGACAACAACAAGGGTTGGCTTGAAAGGCTCAATCGGTCCAAAAACAGCCTAAATCATTTCCTAAATGATGTGAACTCTAGGATTTCGCCTTGAGTGATTATCAAATGAGTTCTAGAGTTTGTTGAAATCCCAATAAAGTTCATGAAAACTTCATACATAACACGTCTCTAAGTAGGTGATTGAACCACTTTCAATCCACAGTTCACTAGGGTCCCAACTTCATGTCATTAATATTCACACACATCCGTAAGCAAAGATAAAAATTAATGTCCTCCATTAGTTCTATGTTATTGCACTCACATTCCTATCATAGACATATGACTTCATCCAAGAGACAAAAATAAAACTCATAACCTAAAATGAAAGAATAAATAAAAAAAAAATTGCTCTCTAAATCCATACAAAAACAAATTCTACTCAATTTAAGTTTCTTAAATTCCTACCCCCAACCAGTAAAATCAACATTGTCCCCAATGTTAAGCGTAAGAATAAAAGAAAGAAAACGTTACCGCATTCCTCTACAAGATAAAGCCATCCAATCGTATACACCAGTCGTTCTATCAAAACAAAAAAACCACTAAACAGACCGTGTCGGCCATCACAATTATGCAGAATACAAGAGTAAATAACAAGAGCATGAACACATACAAACAAAACGAAAACAAACAAAAAACTATACGAAAAGTTCACAAAGACTCAGAGTACAGAAAGTAGTCATAATAAAAGTACATCAAAACAGAAAAATAAAATCGACCAAAACAAACTGCATGGACAACGTTAATGAAAATCTACTCCTCCATACTGTCCTTAGAATCCTCCTCAGGAGCATCACCGTGCTCCTCATCCATCGGGTACACAAAATCGGTCCATTCACACCCCGGTGCTTCTATCCCAGCATGAGCAAGTTGCAATCTTTGCATCTCATGTTGCATCCTCATTTGCCCACTCATCCATGTCATCCAGGCCTCTTGACGATTCTGTTGCTGCTTCAACTTTTTGACATCTTCATTGAGCTTCAACAATTGATCCTTTTGGGAAAGCTTCGATGATGAAGATGCCTTGGTCCTGGGTACCTCTACTCTGCCCCCACTGGTTAGATTTTACAGAAACTGCACTGTAAAACACACTCCTTGCGAAATAAAAACCTCTTCAGCGTTCAATGGCACTTCCGCTTGTGTACATAATGCAGTGATCAGGTGAGGAAAATAAAATCCCGTCTTGGTACACTTTGCCGAATGGGTAATCTCATGAAAAATAATTTCACCCACATTCATCCTCATCTTCTGGCGGATAGCATACATTAGGATCGCCCTAGCTTTACTAATAGTGCTCATGTGCTTGGATGGCATCAATCGAGAGCAGACAAAATATAACCACATGCACGAAATTGAGTCCAAGAACTTACTTTCAAAACGGATGTGCTCCCCAGCCGCAATAAACCATGTAGCTCTCCCTTCAGACAACAAGTTTATTACTACGTCAAAATCCACTTGTTGCTTGAATGCGGCATATGCATCATCATCGAACTCAACTTGCGGAAGCCCATAAAATTCATTGATTGCCGCTGCACTAAACACGATGTCTTTACCTCTTACCATTGTCCTTCCGTCAACGCTATCAGGAGCGTTGGCATAAAACTCCTTTACCACAGAGGCAACAGCCGGCGCCGGAGGCTCTTTGCAAAAATTTTCCCAACCTAGAGCTTGAATCACATCAGTTATTCCCTCGCAAGCTTCTGTAAACACTAGCCCTCTTTCTTCAATAAATCACCCAGGTTGCTTTGCAAAATTTTCATACCTTTCCTGAGTAGCCTAACTAACAAACCGGGTATCACTGGCGGCCTGCCCTTTACCTTTTTCTCTCCTATCACTTCCAGGCTTTCTTTTGGGTGCCATTATCACTATGTCAAACTCAACCCCAAATACTCAGTCAGAATACTAACATTGCTCAACGAAAATTAACTCACTCCCAAAAATAGCAACTGCCCTTCTTCAATCAAACACAATCACAGAGATAAACACTCCCACGAAAATCACCAAATCTCTAGCAATATTCACAACCATCCACACTTCCACACAACTCAGATCAATGGATTCCACCCTTCCACACTCAAAATTTCAATGCAAAATGGTTGAGAAACACTTACTTGAAACTTGTTCTGTCCAAATACGCCTTGAATTGAAATGGATTAGATGAAATTTCAAAAATCCCCAAATCTCTTTTGAAACCCTAACCTTGATTTTTCACAATTTCTCCTCTTGTTTCTTTAATCTGCGAAATGGGATGGAAGGAGGAATGTGTTAGTGATCAATGGAGTA